CAGCCTTTTCAATAAAAGGTCTACATTGACTGCACATATATAATATATATAATACGAATGTATAAAAGTATATATATACATGAATATATGAACAGTCAATAATAAAAGGAAAGACAACCCAAGAGAAACATGTTAAACAGGAACTTCACAACAGCAGAGATCCAAATGCCCAAGAGCATATGAGAAGATGTTCAAAATTATCAGTTGCCAAAGAAATGCAAATTAAAGCCATAATAAGGCACCACTGCACATCCACAGCATTATATTTTTAGTAAGATTGACACTGAGTATACGGGGCAACTGGAACTCCCATAAATTGCTGGTGGAAGTGTTAATTAGAAAAACTCTAAGAGTAGAATGTGAACGTTTTAAAACAATAACTAAGAAAATGACACGAAGGCTATGTTAACCAGTTTGATGGAAGTATTTTGGATTGTGTGTGAAAACCCCAAACTGTACCCCAGAAGTGCATTAATGTACATAGTTACCATTCAATAAAAAAAAGAAAGAAAAGAAAAGAAAAACTATTTTGGAAGGTTCTTACGAAATTATAGATGCTAAAGTTTGTGGGCAAAGTTTGAGGAGAATCAGGAATGGCATTGTCTCCAAGAATCTCCTCAAAAGTACTTATTCACTGCAAAGGGGCTGGGGAGTCACTGGACACTGGAGAAATAATCATCAAATCAGCCCAGGGTTCCTGGGAGACATTACCCACCAGTAATGGAAACGTCCACTGAGAAGGACACAACGCCATTTTTCTGAGTCTTTGCCAAAAATGCGTGACTTCACTGCAATTAGGAAAAAACACCAGATGAATCCAAATTAATAAACAATCCTAAAAATGCCTGATCAGTCTTCTTCAGAACTGTCAAGGTCATGAAACACAAGGAAAGGCCAAGGAACTGTTACAGACTGGCGGAGACTAAGAAGAGAAAATACCTAAAAGCAATGTGAAATCCTGGACGAGATCTCAAAGCAGAAGGTGGGCAACGATAGGAAAAATAGGTAAAATTTAAGTCAGATGTTTAGTTCGGTTAATAAGATTCTCCCAATATTCCTATTTACTCTTGATATTTGCACTATGATTGTGGAAGACGTTAATTTTTTGGAAAATGGAGTGAGAGGTACGAGGCAACTCTTCGTTAGTACGGTTGCAGCTTTTTGGTAAGATTTAAATTCTCCAAAATAAAACAGACATTTTAAACTTGAGGGGCTTGGGACATGAAAGAAAGAAAAGAATTAAAAGCTCAAATATTTTTGAGTCCCTAATGGAGGCCAGATTAATTGCAGAGACAGTCAGGAATCTGTATTCCTGAATAGAGAAATATCTGAAGCCACAGCCTTCTGTATCACGAACACGGCTTTGTTGCGCATTTGGTACACAACCAACACACAAGGGGAAAAGTGGAGTTATCAAATTCACACTAAAAGAAATTAATCTAGTAGAATTTTAACAGATACGTCTAATGCTTTAATGGAAAAAAAGCCCATAATCTATTTTACCAGGAGGACTCAGATAAGTCATAAATTAAATATCCTACGTTCTCCACACCCTTTCTCCCTCCAGAGACCAAGTCTGCCATCTAGTGATGGGATGGTGAACTGCCTTCCACAGTTCAGAAACTGCGCAAAAATCGTTTTGTGGATTTTAACCTCACAGAACCGGCGTGTTAAATATGTCCACTTCCTCGATCAGAAATGTTCAATGTTCCCACCCCTTGAAAATAAAGTTCAAATTCTAGGTTGGGAATTCAAGTGAGTACACAATATAGTCTGTGTTTACCAAGTGTAAAGACGTAAGAATCCAAGTTTCTGCTTTTCTACCTAGTATTATTACGTCATCTGTTTCTCCTTATGGAGGCCTCAGAGATACAAGACATGTTAAGTATCATCAATTCTTGTTTTTTTAATTAACTCATAGCTGTGTACATTAATGCAATCATGGGGTACAATGTTCTGGTTTTATATACAATTTGAAATATTTCCATCAAACTGGTTAACATAGCCTTCATGGCATTTTCTTATTGTGTTAAGACATTTTTATTCTACATTCAGTAAATTTCACATGTACCTTTGTGAGATGCACCGTAGATGTAGTTCCCACCAATTACCCTTCCTCCACCCATCCTTCCCCTCCCCCACCCCTCCCTCTCTCCTTTCCCCATATTTTGGGGTTATAATTGGGTTATAGCTTTCATATGAAAGCTCTAAATTGGTTTCATAGTAGGGCTGAGTACATTGGATACTTTTTCCTCCATTCATAAGATACTTTGCTAAGAAGAATATGTTTCAGCTCCATCCAAATAAACGTGAAAGAGGTAAAGTCTCCATTTTTTTAAGGCTGCATAATATTCCATGGCGTACATATATCACAATTTATTAATCTATTTATGGGTTGATGGGCACTTCTTCAATTCTTTTTGTATACTTAAGGACCCATATTTTCTTGCTTTCTCTGGCCTTGGGGATAATCAAAAACTTAGGTGACAATTGTAAGCTATTTGGCTATGATATCCTATAAGACACACCTGTCTGGCAATTGCTGTCTTTTTCTCACTGATTTTTTTTCTACCCTGTTGCAGCTGGGAACATTACAGCCAAGGTATCTACCTCTGCAGCATCCTGCAAGAAAGGGCCAGGACAGATGTAATTTCCTTGAGGACCATTGGCCCCGGAGCTAAGAGTACAACTGTTGTCCTCATCAATCCCAGCCATGGCTCGAAGTGCCCTCACCTGTCCTCTATCTGTGGCCCCTATTCCCCCGGAGCCACCTGGATAATGTGGAGATAAAGATTTTCAAAGGGGTTAGCCCATTTGCCTTGGTATATAAGCAAATGTGTTTGGGGGTACATTTCCATCTCCCCACCTTTTCAGAAACCATTTAAATCCCACTTGGTCTCTGTCTTATTTGAAAACTAAGCCTTCCCCTCATTTACCCCAGAAAACTCCAATTCCAACTTTATCTTATAAGAATGTGACTATGCGATGATGTTAAATGGGACTTATCCCGCCTCTGAGTTTGTCTGAAGGCCCAAAGCAGATATCAGCCTTGGGCTAATCCACCATGCTGTAAAGAAGGCTGCTTCAGTGTCCACTCAGGACAGGCCAAGAGACTGTGGGCCTGGTCTGGTGACCCTGGGCTCCAGGCCAGCACCCAAAGGACTGGTAAGCACACTGAGGATTTGCTCATGGAGGATGAAGAATGAGGGTTTCTTTGCAGGAAAGGGGGGAAAGGGACGCTTCTTCTCACCACATGGGGAAGGGAAGGAGGTGAATTCCCACACCGTTAGCTGGGAGGCGGGACTTAAGAGAAAGAAACACTGGCAGGGAGTGAGGTTTTGCCACTAGGAGAGGCTGATGCTTCATCCAAGGCAACTGGATACTTGCTGAGGCTGAAATCCTAAGCCTTGTGAAATAAGGAGACAGGAGCTGAGTCAAAAGGGCCTCTCAGCACAAAGGCTGGAGGTACTCTAGTACCTTATAAAGACACGGAAGCTGAAGTGGAGAGAGTGTGTATCTGTATTTCTATGGTAGGTGAGAATGTATACACTTATAAAAATCACAGGTCCTATCATCCAAGCCAGGGAAGAGCTTCTCCCCAGTAACCCAGCGGCAACACATCTGCCGTCTCTAAATTAGTGTCATTTAGCTCAAAAGGTTTAGGGAACTATAGGATTGTCAAAGGAGCTGTGGCAGAAGCAGAGTTAGAACTCAGGTCTCTAAATTGCAAATATAACTCCTCCTCCAACTTCCACAAATGTCCTGAGTCATTAAAGTCATAGCGCAGAGAGCAGGACATGGGGTCTGAAGCCCAATCAAATCATGACACTGCAACTCACACGGTGACCCTGGACAAATTACTGTCACTCTCCAAGTCTCTGTCTTCTCATCTTTGACTACAGATCATAGCAGTACACGCCACATAGGGTTGAGGGACCAATTGGTAAAATACTTAGCACGGTGCCTGGAATGTAGTAAGGCCACTTCAGCAAATGTTAGCTGTCACGGCTGCGGTCAGCAAGGTCTCACACACATAGACCAAGTCTCATATTCCCCTCAGGTTATTGTCTCACCCACAAGGAAGAGCCCAAAACACACTGATTGACAAAGAGATCCCAACTTCAGTGTAAAAGCTGAATAAAATTTAACTGGCTAATTGGTAAAATTGATTGTGTTATTTAGTGCTAGCAAACTGTTGTGGAGATGCTAGAAGATTCTCAACCCTTTCTAACAATTTCACTTATTCAAATAGTACCTAAAAAATCAGCAACCGCTAAACAGATCAACCTCCTGTTAACAACACCCTGTATTGAATCAGATGGGCCGGAATCCCTCAGCTGTTCTCATGACCCGCTGTGACTCACAGGTGCCGAGCACAGATCTGAGAGCTCGGATACATGTGCAGTAAGAAGGGGGGAAAGACCACTGATAAACTCAGAACTTTTGAGTGTCAATAGGAATAAGGACCACTGACGAGGAATATCAGACCACTGATGAACTTAGAAGAACTTTTGAGGACAACAGGAATTAAGCCCACATGTTATCCAAGAAACTCTGAGAAAAAAATTGAGACTTTTCTTCCATTTTATGAAGTCCAAGGCAAGGAAATTTTCCTCCCCACTTACCCTCCAACTTCTTTTTCAGAAAATAAGTCTTTATATTTTTGGAGCAGTTTTAGGTTTACAGAAAAATAAAGAGAAGAAATAAGGCTACTTTGGTGATTAAATTCATGGGTTCTGCTGGTTTACTGGTTTGTTTATTTGGTAAGCACTGAAATAAGGCCCCCAAAGTAGGAGAGCTCGGAAAGCGTCTGTGTGGATGCCCCTTCTTCCATGATTAGCGGAGCCTTGGGTTCATCAATACATGACACCTTTGCGAGAGATCCTGGACCCATTCTGCAGATGAGCAAACCAAGGCACAGAAGTGGCACAGCCTTTTTCCATGGACTCATCACGGGCTTGCCTCTTCTGTCCTTCTGAGTCTTGGTCAGTTCCAGCTGTTTATGGAGAAGCAAGCTTGCCACAGAAGAGAATCGCGTTGGTATGACTATGCCTTATAAAGAACAGGAAGGGGTGATTGGCCAGGAACTGATCCCGGATGGGGAGTCTTTTCACAGCGATGCTCTCCCCAGCGCCAGCTGCTGCCTCAGTGCCCTCTTCACTGACGTCCAAGTATGACTTGTGGATGACCTTCGATAAATACAGACCCTTGGCTGCCGACATTCCAGAAAGATCAGCTTTGTTCTGGTTGAAGACATCTGTCATCCCCAGGGATTTTAACAGGGAATTTAGCTCATACTTGATTTCAAGTTTGAATCGGGGGAGATGGACTTCCACCTCTCTTTCTATCATGTTGGAAGAGCTGGTCCACTGGTGAAATGTTCTCACAGTCAGCTGTTTTTCTACCTAAGGGACAAAACTCAGGTGAGCCCATGTGAGCCAAACACGCCCTCTGCATTAAATGCCGTTTGTTCTTATACTTCTCAGTGTGAGTAGTTTGATTTCATCATTTTCTTTTCCACCTATAAAACATCCTATCTACCCAGCAAAAAAAAAATCAGCTTGTGTTTAGCCTCACCTGGCCTTTTCTATTCTCTACTTCCCATCTAAATTTCATAATTAAATTCTCAAGTATATACCCTGCAGTCATTTGCCGTGATTCCCCCAGTGTGTGGCCTTCACCCATCCTTCTCCCTATATCGTCTCTGAAGTCCTTGTGTTCTCATTCTTCTTAGTAAAGCATCACAAGAATGGAGAAGCAAGAAGCCAATGTACTCAATTGTAACATGAAGGCAGTACATGATTTAATATAAGGTGGGGTAGAGGAATAAGGGAGTGGGGGGAGGGGAGGAGGGAGGGGGATGGGGTCACGGTGTATGACACACCTCTTGGGGGTGGGACACAATTATAAGAGGGACTTTACCTAACAAGTGCAATCAACGTGACCTCATTCTTTACACCCTCAATGAATTCCAAACAATAAAAAAAGGAAATAAAACGAAGTCCTTGTGTTCCAGTTTCCCAGGTGAATGCAATCATTTCTTCTTGGTTCTCAGATGTGAAACATTTAATAGTGCCCACCTTTATGAACCAGATGGTCATTTGGCATCTGTGAGGCCGGGGTCCCCTACCCTGCTCTGATGGTGCCCTTCTCTTTCCCTGTCTCCTGAGCTCCCGAAGCTGCTAAGTTCTGGGCGCTGAACTCCCCCAACCTCCCTGTGCTACACCCAGAATGTCAGCCCCTCACCCACGGTCAGGTTTTCCAAAGCAGCCTCAGAACACTGACTTCTCATTCTCCATCAGTTTCTTTTTTCTTTTACTTTTTTTTTTTTTTTTTTTTTTTGGTAAACTCTCCTAATGTCTCCCCATGGGTGTACTTGGGTGTAGTGTTTGAACCCTCCCACCAGTATTCTCCATGGTTCTGAACCACCACACACATCACATCCCATCATTCCAGTCCAAGAGTTTAAAACTTTCTGACATCTTTTCCCTGACTTGACAATATACAATCTGTCATAAAAAGAAAGTTGGTTCTTCTGAACCATTTTTTCCTTCTGCCTTTTGTGCCCTAATTCAAGTTACCATGATGTCATGAACTCATTTCTGGAGCATCTGGACGTGCTCTTTGCTTGGCTTGGAGCAGCAGGGTCCCCGCTCTTCATCTCTTCATCTTCTCTCATCTGATGAGGTTTGCATCAGAATTGCTCTCCTAGGAAAGTCTTCCTGATTCCTCATTCTAATTTAGACACTTTCTACTCCCACAGGACTTTCTGCAGAGTCTAAACTGCCTCCAAACTGTCTGTATGCCTCCAAATCTCTTCCACCCCAGTCAACCACAGGCCCCTGGGAGCCTAATCCCCTCTGAAACATCCACACTCCTAGGCCCCCTTGTTCTCATGGCCACACTATACTTCTGTTACTACAGCTCCCTCCCAAAGGGTAGCCCCCTCACTTCTTAATCCAAATGCACACATCCTAGCCCACCTCTCTCATGAAGCCTCTCTACACACCCTCTTGCCCATCTGTGCCACATGGTTTTACCTCGAGCCAGTACTCCCTGACCTACAAACCCCTGCCTGTGTCGACCTCTGTAGGCTCAGTTGTTCTCCTAACAAACTGTGTCCTTCTGGTAGTGTATGGAAGGCTCCCAGTCAGATGAGGAGGTGGGACAGTCCTCACAGGCTTGTGCTAGAAAGTGTTGGCTATATCTATGGGGACTGGGACCCAAATGCCAACCACCACCATGACCTCTTCTTAAGGATTGTGGTGTTCATTTCCTTACAAAAGTAGGAGGCTAAAAAATGGCTCTAGCCCATGAAAATATGTTACATTTGGATCAGAAATCCTGCCCTGGGAGCAAGATGGCATGATCGGATTTCTGAGGACTAGGAACCCACCCAGCATTATCATTACATTACTATAGAAAGAAGTCTCCTAATTATCAAACAACCAATAGTGGGTGTATTTGTACAAGATGGTGCTTCTACCTCCATGTGCCTTTTTCCATGTAAGGATAGCTTGTCCTCTCTAAGTACATTGTCTAAGGGCAGGGACCACGTGTCCCCCTTCATTTACTTACAGTCTCCAGACCAATATGGCCAAGCCTAGGCTGTGAATCAATGGCTGACTGCATTGCCATCACAGAGTACAGTATGTGTGTATGTGCATGTGTGTATACATCGTGTGTGTGTGTATGTGTGTATACATCGTGTGTGTGTGTGCATGTGTGTATACATCGTGCATGTGCGCATGTGCTTTAGCTCCATTCTTGTAATTTACCTGTTCTAGATTAGTTGTGCCTACTGGAAGCAGGATTATCATGCTTAGTTGTTTGTTAACATAGGGCAGCTCCAGAACTTGCATCTTCGGCTCCTTTATGAAGGCCAATTTAAAGGTTCCAGTTTGATACATCATTTCCACAATTACATTTTTACCCTATTTAAGAAAAAAAGAGTGTAAGTACACAGTAAGGTGACACATGGGGATGCGTATATATGTATACTGTTTTTCTTTGTCTAACATGAATATTTACTTTAACACTCTAAAGCCAGAGGTAAATATATAAGCTACAGAATATATTCTATCTTACTTTTCTTTGCAGAAATTGTCATATTTTTATTTTTTAAAAAGTCATGTTTGCAGACTGAATATATCTAGTAATATATATAGGTAACTTAGGTCTGCCAAAAACAAAGCCAAGGTTTCTAGCTAAAATGATAACCTAAACGTTTGTACTCTCATATGGATCGGAAATTTAAAAAAAAAAAAAGAATAATTTACATGGTAAAATAATATTATGGGATCATTTTTCTAATTCAGTTAGACCCCGTCTAGGGAACAGTAACATAATTTCATTGTGTTATTAGAGAGGAAACATTGTATATATGGAAGGAATACACAGATGGAACATTAAGGAAAGAACGGGTTGTCTTCCCCACCAGGGAGTCATAGTGTTCAAAGCCTCCAGTTAGGCGACCTGTGAGAAAGGGTTACTGTCACTTAAGAGAAAAGTGAAAACTCATGGAAAACACAATTGACCTAACATAAACCTAGACCACTTTATCTTTTTTAATTGACCTTAGTGGGGTAGGGAAAGGGAAGAGCAGCGAGAGAGAAGGAGGGACGAGGGTGGGGAGGTCACACTGTGTGACCCTCCTTTCGGGGGGCAGGGCACAATTAGAAGAGGGACTTAACCTAACAAATGCAATCAATGTAATCTGGTTTTTGGTACACTCAATGAATCACCAACAATAAAATATATATATATATATCTTCCAACACACACACAAAAATACAAACAATAAATTGATCTTAAATTATTATTGCAATATCCAAAATGTGTCACCCATCTGAAAATGAAATACTCACCTCGCTTAACTGGAAAGGGGTTTTAACCGTCTCACTTTCCTGAAACTTATTTTGCCATTGTCCTTTGAAATATATGGCATTCACCAGAACCATCACAGAAGAAGGGTCGATTGTGCCCTTCCCAAAAAGGTTTGTGACTTTCCCTTATATTAAAAAGAAAACAAAAGATAATTGTTATTGGATTCAAACTAACTAAAATACAATGGTCACGAGATATTTGAAGCCATTTTCTTTAAGATTAATTGTAAATTTGAGATGCCAGAAGAACTTCTTTATCTCCTGGCCAGAGTCTTCCTTAGCAAATGAAGTTTATTTCAAAGACTACTGAAAGCTTTTAATTCTAATTATAAGATGTCATCCATGGAACAGCCAATATATTAGTGATGGATCAATTTGTCTTATGTCTGCTTATATATATCTCCAATGCTTCCTTGCATGTTACATTTTTTTTATTAGATCATAGCTGTGTACATGCATGTTACATTTATTGAGAAAATTCTGTAATAATTTTTGTGGCTTACCTTTAGCATTTTTCAAGCTTTACACTTAGCAAGACCTCACATACGCAAACATGTTAAATATTTTAAAAGATTTGCTCATTTTTTCAATGCACTAGAGGTAGTATATCGCAAATATACAACAGCACTTAAACACATATCTGAAAATCAAGATTTATAAAAATAGCTCTTCATTTTTGCAGTTGTTGCCAATGAGGCAGCAGCCAAAAATAAAGTTCAATCCTTTTGTGGCTTCTGACCAAAGCAAGAACCACAAAAAGCATTTCAATGAACCTTCCCACATTTACAGAAAGATTACGTCTTCCCCTCTTTCCAAAAAGCTGAGACAGAATCACGATGTTCAATTCATGCCCATTGGAAAGGATAATGAAGTTCAGGTTGTACAAGGCCACCATAAAGGTCAGCAAAGTGCTGCTGATATCGGAATAAAGAAATCATTGACACCAAACAGGTGCAGCCGGAGAAGGTAAAGGGCACAACTGTCCGTGTGAGCGTTCACTCCAGCACGAGGCTGAAACCACACAAGACCTACAAAATGGTCCTTGAACAGAAAGCCAAATCTTGCCATGCAGGGAAGGAAAGGGCAAATACAGGAAGGAAGCAATGGAGGAGACGCAGGGATAAGGTAATCTTATGCACAACTTCCATTAAAATCTCCCAAAGTGAAAAAAAGATTTCTAAAAATGCACCAGAAATTTCTTGATTTGTAAAGATACTAATCCAAGTTGAACATTCAGCTTCCTTGCTTGGTGCATTTTGGCACATTGCAATTTATAAAACCAGTTTGGAATATAATTTGTCATATGATATGAAACATAGGGATATCCGTAATATCAGACTCTACACTTGATGATGGTTTTAATTTTCATTGAACTTCTGGGCCTAACACAATCCTAGAACCTGATAACAATCCTTAAGTGCTCAATATGTATTTTCGGATGAAGGGATAAATACCCGTATGAATGAGTGATAAAGTGACAGTAGTCTTTCCCTGGATCCCTAACATGTACTCATGGCAGACAACAGTAGTTAACTGTTCATTGGTGCCAAAAAATCTTAAGCATTTTCTGTGCCAGATGCTTTTCTAGGCTCTCTAGCACTAAACTGAGACTATAATTCAAAACAAAACAGACAAAATTCTCTACCATCGTGGGTTAACATCTAGTGACTCCATTGCAGGCTTTTTCAGATAACCTTAGGTTAAGTAAGCCCCAGACTCTTTCAACACCACCTTCCCAAGCAACCACCAGCAGGAAATCAGAGGTGTCAGAAAAGGTAAAGCCTATTTTTATACTACTATTCTAGTGCATCAGTATGTGTAAAGAAAGCCTGAAAATTTATTTAAAAAAAAAAGAAAGAAAGAAAGAAAGAAAGAAAAGCCATCTTTACAGATGGGCAAAAAGATTTAAGCAGGTGCTTCACAAAGGAGGATACGAAGCGTCTAGAAAAGCACTCACCCATATAATTCATAAAAGAAATGCAAATTAAAATAAACATCCCCTCTGTGGTTGAAGTTAATAAGACTGACAATACCAGGCAAGGATGAGGAACAAATGAAATTGTCATTTATGGCTTGGGCAAGTAAATTGATGCACACACCTAAGACAAATGCGTGGTGTATGCTAAGACTGAGTGCGTAGACGGACCTTACGACTGGCAATTCCATCCCAAGATATTACCCAACAAAACTGCGTCCGTATGTGTACCAAAAGATACGTATCAAAATTCTTATAGCAGCATTATTTATAATAGACTCAAACTAAAGATGTCTCAAATATTTAACAGTAGAAGAGATAAATATATTTGAGTTAGGCTAAGAACAAAATATACATCAACAAAAATGAACAAGCTACGCCGCCCAGAACCACATGGATGCTGACAAAGGCTGACCTAAAAACACAAAACACATACTTGGTTACTGACACTACATTTAATTTGAAAATAAGCAGTACTATTCTGGGGTAACAGAAGTCAAAGTAGTCTGAACACTGGAAAGAAAGGGAGTTTCGTTGATGAGATGGGGTGTGAGGGCAGCCTTCCTATTAATTAATGTTGTATTTTCCTGACCTGAATAGTGGTACATGGGCGTATTTACTTTGTGATGGTTTACTGAGCAGCCTACATTAAAAAAAACTTACCTTTCTATATGTACATATACTTCAGTCAAAAAAATTATTTTAGAAATCGAGATTTAAGGGAAATATCAACCAATGACCACAATGTATAAATGTCATTTAGGTTCAATCTCCCCATAAGCCACCATAAATAAATGTGATAATAATATTCTGTGATGACATTGTCTTCAAATTTATGAAACAAAAAAGAGGCATGTGGGTATCTATGAAATTCACTAAATCTCTGTTAATGTTAAATGACACTTTTAAATTTTCTGGGATTTGCTCCCAAAGAACCTAAAATAAGTGGTGGAAGAAGGATCAGAATACAGACGAATAAGACTGGACATTAGTGATAAATGTTTCAGCTGAGTGATGGATAAGTAAGATTTCATTACATCTCTCTCTACATTTGTATATTCTTAACTTTCTTTAACTATATTTTTTAAATAAAGAAATGGACATATGGTTGGTATCAAATATTTAATGTACCTTTTAAAAAAGAAATATTAGCAATACATATATTTTTTAAAATTGTGAAACGTAGATTTAAATTTAATTGAAGAGCTTGCAATAACACTCCTAAAAAGTATACACGATGCTTATTCAGAGTCACTTTAGATTATTCAAGACAAATAATTGTAAATCTCCTCCCAAATATGGCCCAGTTTCCTTCATTGTTGATCTGCCTTGTTAGGTGCTAACCTTCCTTCCTTGCATACTGACCCAGGCAGTATCAGCCCCCCACAGATAAAGGTGTAGGACCCATATCTGACTTATTCTTACCATTAGTTTTTCTTTCAACCCAAGCATTGATAGTTTTCCTTGTTTCTTCTGTAGACCGATCAAAATCAACAGTTTGCAACCCGGCTTGATACAGTTTCTCAGAACAACTTAAATATTGCTGCAAAAGAAACGACAATTAAACAACTCAAAAACAAAGTAAAGGAAACAAAAACCATCTGCTTAATGTGTTCTAATATCCTAACTCAGACACAAAAGCAGCTCATCTATACAAATCTCAAAGAAAACAGAATTCGTAAAAACGTATTTTTAATTAAACAAATAAATTTAACAAAATCCAAAACGCCTCCAAAAGGAGTGTTCAGAAATGTTTGGTTGTTACTTCTGTTGCATCATTGGCTTTCTTAGATCTAAAACATTCAAAACAAAATGACAAATAGCAATCTAGTAAGTACCTTTGCATCCTATCCCTACTCTGTCCTCTTCAAGCAGACATACAGGAGTTGCTGTCCTCCTGTGATAGACAGGAAAGGTGGGAACCAGAGGAGTTGAATGATGTGCTTGTCTAAAGTCTGAATGCCTCCGCATGGTAGACATCAATCTCCCCATAAGCCACCATAAAGAAATGTGATAATAATATTCTCTGATGTAGACAATTGACAATGTCTTCAAATTTATGAAAACATAAACAAAAATATCTTAAGGAATTCACTATTTTACTCACCTGTAACGTATTATCTAAGTGCAAGTTGCATGCAAACTCATTATAAAGAACCTAGCCCATCTTTTGTCTAAATTCTTACTCTGAAACACCTGTCCACGTAGCGTTCTGGAACCCCCATTGACCACCACTCATGGTGGTTGAGCCCTAGAACTGGTGAATTTCCACCACCTTGCTGTGCCCCACTTTGAATGAAACAGGACCACGCAGGACTTAGAAATAGGGCAGGTGTGAAAGTGGCTGCGTGGTGATCAATTTTCTATTTGCCTAACTGGCTTCTTTGGTGCCTAAATGCTGGGTAGAAAAAAATAAAGCTTAACTAAAAGCAAAAACTGAGCCTCAAAATGATATGTCTGGAGGTGGGTCTGACTGTGACTGAAATACCCTTAAATAACTCCCCATATCCTGTAAGAGAGTTTTTCCAGCCAGAATCCAGCCTGGGAGCATAAAGTCTATCTCATGACACAGTTAAATAATAATATTCCTGGCACTAACAAGGAGCTTCCCGTTTCAGAAACAGATTCAATTATCATCATCCCTAATCAACTTTTATCTACTTATTATACGTCTGGAACACTGGGGAAGGCAAAGGGATTAGAGAGAGCATCCCAACTCAAAGGACCCCGACTATCAATCCCCACCACTTCTACATATGCCTTCAGCAGAAGAAAACACCCCTGAAACATCTATAGTACCAAGAGGGGGGCTGCCCACTCCAAGTTGCAAAATTTCTATCAGAAGCTTGTCCCATCTAACATATAACCTAAGCTACTAGGCTGGGGAAGGACATTAAAAATTTAGGACTTCCTCTAGCTTCACCCACCTGGAACTGGGTCAAAAAAAAAAAAAAATACAGGTCAAACAAACGCTTGTTTTTCACCTCAGTTACAGCAAGTACCTAGCAATTAAAAACAAGAAGGACTGAGATACAGATCTAATCCAGTTTGCCATTTAAGTATCTCTGTGACCTCTGTCAACTTGACTCTTGAGAATCTGTAGAATTAATGGAAATTTTGTACCTGCAGGTTAGCACAATCTAAGGATTATGTGAGATAATGGCTGTAATGTATCAAGTAGAAAGACACATAGTAAACACCCAAGACTTTACCTCTTACATGTTTACATGGACGGAGCTGGAACATATTCTTCTTAGCAAAGATCTCAAGAATGGAAGAAAAAGTATCCAATGTACTCAGTCTTACTATGAAACCAATTTATAGCTTTATTATGAAAGCTATAACCCAACTACAGCCCAAGAAGAAGGGGAAAGGCTAGAGGGAGGGGAGGGGAGGGGGGAGGATTGGTGGAGGGAGAATAATTGGTGTGACCACTCCTATGGTGCATCTTAATCTTACAAGGGTACGTGTGAAACTTACTAGGTGTAGAATATAAATGTCTTAACACAATAACTAAGAAAATGCCATAAAGGCTATGTTAAGTTTGATGAAAACATTTCAAATTGTATCTAAAACCAGCACATTGTACCCCATGATTGCATTAATGTACAAAAAAGCTATAATTAAAAAAAAAACCCTGCATATTACAATGCTGTTAGAAAAGATCAGAAATAGTGCTAAACTCTTGGAATGAGAGAAATCATAGTCTAATTCTGTCCTTAAAGGTAGAAGCATAAAGGTAAAGCCCAAGGTCATATGTCTAAATAGGAACATAACTGTGGTCTCTTGATTCTCAGCACAGTGTACTTTTCAATACCTCTCCATATTCTGTGATGACCCAGACCCCTTGATTCCCCGCTAAGACCAGTGGGGAACAAGCCCCCTACCCTTCAGACTTTTCCTGAGTCTCTCGGTCCCAGCCCTTTCAAGGGTGGATAAGCTTAAAAATAAGGAAGAGAGGAAGGGAGGGTTTGAGGCCAGAAAAAGCTTGTGGAAAGTCTCGAGTTCTTTGGAAACTTTCTCAACTTGTGCTGAACTATGTTTCCCTTATGTGACCCCCACCCTATTTCATGAGGTAATATGTACTCCTGTTTTGAATTTTGTAACCCTTAATGCGATTTGCTTATATGAGCTGAATTAGCATGTACTCTCACCCTGAGTCGTATAACCCTCTGTGAGCCAATGTATGTACCCTTGCCTTGTGACCTTTAAGTTATACTGAGTTGTTATGTGAGCTGGGCTGAGCTGTGCTTGCTTCAGCAAGATTTACAGTATATAAGCCCTTTGAATTTGCCATTCGCAGCTGCTTGTTGGCCCAACACAACAGCCCCCCATAGGTGCACCTGCAGATGTATTAAATTCCTAATAAATTTATATTAATTAATTACATCTGAAGTGGGGTCCAAATTTCTCTCAGCTGCGTGGGATCATAACATTTCTGCCACTAAAGACCTTTGAAGAAGATATGAACAGCATATTTTGTTTTTCAAACCCAATCCTGAGTTGTGAACAATTTTTTTGGTGATTTTTCAGAAATAAAATTTTTATGTGATCTATATATATAATATTTCACAATTTTAAATGAGAGTTTTGGTAAAAAATAAAAAAAAATATTTCTTTGAAATTCTAAGTCAGTTAAAATTCAGTCTATTAAAGATACATCCCATGTGATTCTTCTCACTCTTCATTGATTTTATGGCATGAAATTCAGAGAATGTCAAGAACATTGTTGACCACCATTCCAGGTAAACTCACCTCCTGGAAGGGCACTGTCTTTGTCCCGTAGAGTCTGGTGGCAATGCTGAGAGTGTAGTTAGAATCTGGCTGGTTGATTTGAGACAATAGGGCACCAAGTTCTGAATGAATCCTTCCACTTTGGCTGCACTGAAGCATCAGTCAACAAAGAATGATGTATTAAATTTCTTTTTTTTAATTTAATTTATTCATTTATTTATTCATTTTTGCAGTTTTTGGCTGGGGCTAGGTTTGAATCGCCATCTCAGGCATATGGGGCCTTACTCCTTTGAACCACAGGCACCACCCAATGTATTAAATTTCTTAATTTTCTTGTCATTGAAGAGTTACAAAAAGGTGACAGCAATGATCTAATGAGCAAGGTGTTTGTTTCTCAACAAAAAGCCCAGAAATACAAAGAACTAAAGAGTTTTAAGGATTTTTATCTCTAAATCTTCTCTAGCACATCTCATCACTCTGTGAGTTCAGTGTCAGTTGGCGTGCAGGATTGTAAGCTGTTGCAAAACACACAAGACTTATTGTCATTAATGGTTTAATTCAGAAGTGGCTTTCACAAATGGTAAAGAGATCCTAGTGGGGTATTCAAGGCAATAATCTAAGTCTTATTGCTGCCTTTGTACTTTTAGAATTATTGCTCTTCTCTATCACACTTTTTCAACGTCTGTTTTCTATGTGGTCACTTAATCAAACACTCCAGCCCTTAAAGGACCAGACTTCACACATCATCTGTAGCTCAGGGGCAGCAGTGCTGCTAAGGATGAAAATGACCAAGAATTCATGGACATCATAAGGTTATGCCTTTATTCCCTGAAGCAAAGTTTCCCAAATTATGGCCTTTGTATAATAAGTTGAGTTCCATGAAGCAAACTCAACTTCTGTTCTGTGAATCTCTATGCATTTATGTATTTTTCTCAACCAGTCACAATCAAACACAACTATTTTCACATAGGAGTCCTATATAATGTTGATGTCTGAAGGAATCCTTCCACTAGAAAGAACTAGGGACCAGAGTCCCAGAGCATGTGGGCTGGGCAACATCAGGCCACGTTTTCCCAGTAGATAATTGTATGACAAAGCCTTGGGGTCTTTTCTCATTCCTCTCATTAGACAGGTGAAATCTAACACCATGCAGACGAGGCCGGCAGGCTCAACCTGGGCCACAGTCCATAAAAGAACAGATAAGTTTGAGTATAGATGACAATAAATCGGGTAATAAAATACAAAGGACTTTATTATTGTTATCATATTATTATTGGATTAAACTCTCCAGGCTGTGGTGATAATCAGGAAGAGGAAGGGAAGAGACGTGGTCAGCCCCTTTAGGGGCCAAGTGCGGACTCTGCTGCTCAACACTTGGGCTATTATTTCTTGGTTCCCTCATATGAAAGAGCCTCTAACAGCTCAGCAATGATATTATCGTACCTGACGTGGGTCCTTAAACTCCTGTTTGAATGACTGTACAATGTGGTCATAGTGAAGCACCTGGAAAAAGGAAGCAAAGAAGGATTGATGGCATCAAAAGCAATGGCCAGTTGTAAATAATCTATTTTTCTATTTCAGATCAAGACCAACAGAGATAGGTAACATTTAATATAATACTGTTACCTTCTATGTCCTGAATTAAGCCTTTATAGATCCCGTTTTACCTTCCCAACAACTTTATGAAATAGATACTATGTCCCCGTTTTATGTTAGGGAAATTAGGGTTGAGAGAAAGAAACAGCTTTCCCCAGTCGTCTCTCAGGTTCCAGAACTGGCTCTTATCCACCAAGTTCTTCTACCCTCTCCTATCCTTCTCAGGCCATCCACGAGGACAGTGCCATCTTGGGCCATGTAAGATGTTTCATGGTTTCCCATCACAAACAATAGTAAGATGTGCAGGTATCCCAAAGGTTCTTCTAGGCTTTCCATGGCAATAAAAACATCTATAATGGAAAAATCACCCCACTTAGCCTATGAAACCTGAAAAGTCACCTTTCATCTCCAAATCTCAGTTTTTCTGTCTCTAAAATGGAGATAATGATTTCTACCAGTTACACAGGTTTGCAATAAAGTTCAAATGCAATCATGAACTTTTTAAAAATGCGGTAACTTCTAAAATATCATCAAGTTTTATTATAAGTTTAGCCTTCCAGAGGACAATAGTATAGGGCCATGAGTGTGCTCCTTATCACATTTAAATCCTGGCAGGAGGAACTCTAAATGTAAAAGGAGAAATCTATTTGTGATCCCAGTGACAGTAAGAAGGAGAGTACATGTCGCACGTATTGCACTATTTGCATTACAAAGCATTACATTATTAAGCTATTATCCATTTTACAGAAATATGATTTGCTCAAATGTGTTTTTTCTCTCACAGAATATCAGAGGGTTCTTGGCATAGAACTAGAAGTGAGTTGGCTCTGGGCAAACCTCTGGTGCATTCCGTACCTTTTGCACTTGGTCTGCGCTGTTTCCTCTGGCACCAAGGAGGATCATACTGAGAGCATAAAGCAGATTCAGTGGAGAAAAGAAAATGTTCTCTCCCACACTGTTAGTGTTCAGCTCTTTGAACACATCGAGGCAAAATTCAACATTTGCTGTGCTGAGAGAACCCATTTTTATGCCAAGTCCTGCCTGAGAACAGAAGGAGAAAATATCTCAGAACATCGCCTGAAGGTGCAAATAATATCTAAACTTCAATTATTACATTCATGAATTTAAGTGTCTAGGCACACTGCTTCATGACGAATTAGAGCCTGTGTCATATTTCTAAGAAATTTGTAAATGCTATAAGGAAATTCACAGTAGTTTTAGATTCTAACAAATAGAAGATTTACTATTTCTTCAGCCAATAGTTCAAAGCTATCTCACTATCACATACGTGTGCGTGTTCGTATGTATTTTAGAGACAGAGTGGCCTAGTCTGGTCATCATAGCTCACTGTAACCACAACTCCTGGGCTCAAGTCATCCTCCCACCTCAGCCTCCTGAGGATCTGGGACAATAGGAATGTGCCACTACACCCAGCTAATTTTTAAATTTTGTGTAGAGATGGGGTCTCACTACGTTGCCCACTCTCATTTCCATATATTTTAAAATGATCTGTAACTGTTCTGGGGCAAAAGAGCAGAAGGAATTGCATCTTTGTGCGTTTAATTTCCATGCTTTAAGGCATTCCTCCTCCAGTAATTTGTGCAGAAAATTTCTTGAGCTACACAAATTCAGCCAAGTGAGATATTTTCCCACTAGACTGCCCACCTTCGCAGCCTCATGGGAAAAGAACGTCTCCATCCTGATAACTTTTGGAAAAACAGTCAATAAAGCAAAGTTGGACGAAATTCTCCACCTGTTTTTATCTCTTTGATGGGACCCCATTCCCTCTGCCCCTCCATGAGAGGGAGGCAACACTAACAAGCAGGTCCTAAAAGGCAGTCAGAGCCACAGCCAGGCACAGCAATGACATCAGTGAAGCCAGGGGAATGAAAATCCAAACTCTAAGACACAAAAAGATAGTGCTAGAATATGTGGTACATACATATTATCCTAGAATACATGTTATCTCAGGACAATAAAATGTCAGAAAAGAGGAGGTTACAGCTATTCAGTTCCACTCTTGGGTCCCACTAACTAGAAGTGCAGGTACAAAAATGGTTGAGAATAGTTCCTGCCCGCGGGGAGCCTTCATTCACCAGGAGCCTCATCGCCATCAGACGTTTCCCTTCCTTAACTTCCGGGTCTCTCAGTCCACAGCTTACTTTCTTGGCCACTGCTTCCCAGTATTTTTTTATAAAATATTTCAATTTTCAAACTCTACTTGTAATAACACAACAGAATTAAGACCTTGGGCCTCTTCTCTGTTTACAGTCATCCTGCAGACGGCCTTGTCCAGCACCACGCATTCAATGTCACTGGTATTCTCTTAGCTCCTGATTTGTACCATCCCTGAATTAGACACCTGTATCCACCGCCTACTTAGCATCCCCACTTGGGTCTCTAACAGATCTCTCAAACTTAATGTGTCCAGAAACAAACTTTGGCTTTCCAGCCCCTCTCCCCAGCCCAAGTTGTCCCTACAGCTTTCTTCACCTCTGTCAATGGCAATTCCATTATTCCATTTATCAAGCTGAAGACCCTGGCATCATCCTTAAATAATTTCTTATTCTTATTCACATTCACTGTGATATGCTGGTGTGCACAGTACTGCAGACGCACGGAGAGGAGACACAGAGCCAACCTGAGAGCGGCAGGGAGACTTCCTGGAGGAGGTGATGCACCTGCTGCTTCCTAAAGAAAATTTTATCTTACGGGAGCATGAAATAAGAGCCCAAAACTAGTGGGCAGTAGTGCTGGAGACAGGCAGAACTGTCTGCTTAGAGGGTTAGCACGCCCACTGTGAGAAAGCAGAGACAGCTCAGGATGGAGTCAAGTTTTTCTCTGTAAATTAAAAAAAAAACAGCCCAGCTAAACTGTCCATTGCCACCATTCAGCCCCTTCCCTCAGTCTTCTTTTGTGCTCTCTTTCATTAAGGGATGGATGTAGATTTCACATAGCCATGTGTTTCAGAAAAGGGTTCATGCTCCCAAGGACCCAAGAGCAAGCCCTGTTGGTCTAAGACAACTGAGGCGATTCTATGTCCCACATCAGTGACTGGTGTCAAGTCACAAAGGTGCCATAGTTCTTGCCACTAAGACTAGCAGAAAAGTGGCTGGAGGGTTTCTGAAAAAGGCTTCCTTCTGGTAAGAAGAGATCCACAAGAAGAAATCCCCTTCTTCCTCTCAGGGTTTTGTCGTCAGCGTATAACAACTATGGCAGCAGCTACTTTGTGAGCAGGAGGCAGCCGGCCGAAGAGGATAAGGCGGGATGGAGAAGGGAGGGGCGGGAAAAACTGGGATGGCACACAGTGAGTGGATGGATTAATCAACTCTGGATCTGCCCACCTTGGGTTTCTTGTCGTGTGCAAGGATCATTTTTCCTTATTGTTTAAGCCATTCTCACTGAGTCTTCTGCTACTTTCAAGGAAAACCTTCCCAACTCATTTCACTGAGTTCTTTATATGCCCTTAACCAGTAGGACCAATCAGCCCGCCTACCCCACATTCACACTTTTCTCACATAACTACGTCTTTTCCCTTAGTTAGTCCCCCAAGGATCCAGAAATACTCTGTTTTTCTATCCCAGTCTTCTAAATTACAGCTTTGACTTTTTTGAGAATCCTAGGATAAGCCCATGATTCCCAGGGCATTATGACAGATGACCAGTACATATCGTCACCCACATATATATTTACCCTAGTCAGTAACTTATCTTGTTTTCAGCCTGTGCACATCTGAGCCGAGCTTCCCGGAGGTGTTTTTCCCAGGGTGTGACCTTGTCTGTTACTGATTTAGGCATTTGTATCATGTTTGTCATCCTTTTACAGGCAGAGGGAGACCAAAAGGGTTTATAAATCTTATGGACTTTCGAAATAACAATTCATGACATTTATATGGTGAAGATGATGATGACCCATCCCTGTAATTGGAACTGGCTGCCCTACTAAAGAATAGAAGATACTTTCCAGCATAGTGTAACAGGGTCCAGCAGTTATGCTATACACAGCATGAACCGTACATCTCTGTGCTCTTGACAGTTTTTAAAGATACAACAAAAGGATTTTGCTACTTTTATTTCAGTAAAGTACCGTTATATGCCTTTAACAGGGTGCTACCTTTCAAGCTAATTTTGATACAGCTCTCTGTAATATGCATAATAGTAGTAGTGCCTTTGAAAGCCCTCTGTTTAGTTATTTTAATAAGGAAAGCACTTTCCATAATGAATTGTCCCAGCCAGTTGCTCTTCATACTATCTTCTGCATTTTCATAAATGGAGTTAGCTAGTGGAGTCAGATTTTGATGTACCAGTACACATCAACTTACTTTCCTTAAATCTATGTTGTCTTGTTACTACTATAAAATCCACATACTTGCCCCACAGTTACTGGCGTACTTAACAAGAGTGCTTGGAATATGCCGAGGGCCACTCAGTGCATGCTAGGCACTTCTTTTAATATGTTTGTTTCTTTATTTCTTCCTTTATAACCATAAGTCATCACCTCTGCAGTTCTTGGCACAAGCCACCATTGGCCTACACAGGCCATTCTCCTCTTTGCTTATTTACTTTGGCCCAGTTCTTTCCCTTTCTCCTCCATCACCATACTCAGCACTCATGATTAAGTCATGCCCTTTTGTTTAGATGTGTTCTGGTAAAATATCAACTTATTTATTACATGTATTTTTTTAATTTTCATAAACGAGCTTATGTTGAATAGTAAACTTTTCACTTAGTGCCAGATGTTTTAAGATTCACCTCTGTCACTCTGGAATGATCACCTGTAACTTCTAACCGCTGTGTTCTCTGCCTCCACCACATTTTTGCCTATGTGCTCACCTGTGGCAGACACAAAATAGCCTCCTACTTCACATCATCACCAACAGTGCTGTGATGGGCAGCCCCCTAGGAGCTCCCTTCCACACCAAGGTGAGAATTTCTCTGTAAAGGGAGTGGTTAACTCACAGGGGTTGGGTGTGTGCCAACCATGGTATGTGTTATTCAGAATCTTAGTCTTGCAGGATGAGTGATGGTATTTGCCTCACTTGACAGGTGGATCTTATATCTCTTCAAGCATTCGGTTCACAGTACCAAAAATGAATAGGTTCAGAGTTTTCTTAAAACTCCCAGGAATGCATAATTATGATGGATTCATGAACTTTGGTATTTAGCATGTTTATTGCAACACAGAATTTCAACTGTTATTAATGTAGTACTTAAGTGAATGGACTTTCTTCACTTTGCAAAATTCCACCTGTCCAGCTGTTAGCAGAGTCCTTTCACATAGAATGCCTATGTTAATCTTACATTCAACTGATCTATACAGTACCCTTTATTGACAGTTCCCTCTACATGTGGGTAATTGTCTTTGCATGTACAAAGGTATGTGTGGAGGAATTTATAGATCTTGGTTCATTGAATTTGTTGAATGAACATATTAATTAATGTTAAGAACAAGGAAAATTAATCTGTGAAATTGTGAATGTCTTCCACAGTCACCCAGGAATCAATACAAATTAGAGAAATCAACATTCTGAATATTTTACAATGTCAGGTCTAATTAATGTTGCCTAATTGGTTTCAGGGAAGTAGAAAGTATGAAAGACCAAAGTACAAAGCCACAAAGAATCTTACCAAAGATGCGTGGACTCCCAAAAGCCCTCCCAATGTGTGGGCTCCCCTCAGGTGGTAAAGGAAAGCTGAGTGTGTCCTGTAAGTAGAAAAGCTTCGAATTGAGTTCCCAAAGGGAGAAAGAGTTGCAGATGACTTCTCTGAGCATGATTTTCTATGTCCTTTATGGAACACAGACAGTACCAAGCAAATGAGATGTGTCACCTGGAAGTTGTCATGGGAAAAGATGTCTACGGCTGTATCCTCTCTAGGTTAAGAAGGGGGATTTCCAGAAGAGGCAACTTTACCAGGGTATGTAAGGAGGGTAATAGGTCTTAGAACAGGATACTGACACTAAAGCATTGACTGCAAGGGGACAAAGGGTCTGGGTCTGTCCTGCTCAGGACAAGACTCTTCTTTCATGAAAACTG